TTTTTACTAATAAAATTAATACAAAGTTGGCTGGGGATTTAGCTCAGTGGTTTCGCTGCCTGCTGAGTGAGCACAAGGACCCAAGTTCGATCCCCAGAACCAAAAAAAAAAATTAATACAAAGTTTATAAACGAACCAAATCTAGTTAGTTGCTTGAATTTGAATAATTACTGCCCAAATATAAATATTAATACTATCAAATTAAAATTTTATAATAATCAACACATTTATTTCATTAAATTAACAGAAATTTATTTATATTTGTGAATTTAAAAAAAAAAATATATAAAGATGGCTGATTATGTAGAGTGTGTGAAATGTCACAACTTATTTGACTTTTTCTGTGGCCAAAGCGGTGCCCATTTTTCAGATAGTCACACATGTACCACTGCTGGTTCAAGCTGGAGAGGTGGTCAAATTTAAATCAGAGGTGCCCATGGCCAGGGATTTAGCTCAGTGGTTCCGTTGCTTGCCTCGAAAGCACAAGGACCTGAGTTCAATTCCTGGTACCAAAAAAAAAAAAAATCAGAGGTGCCCAGTAGCGAGATGTATGAATTATGGCCCAGCATGAATATGTTAAAACACAAAGTGCTTGAGTAGACATTTCTCCTAAAAGGATGTACAGATGGCCAAAAACACATGAGAAGATCTCCAACATCACTAATCATCAGAAAAGGCAAGTCAAAACCACTATGAAATGCTACTTCATATACATCAAGATGGCTATTACACAAAAAATGGAAACCAGGGCTGGGGATTTAGCTCAGTGGTTCCGTCACTTGCCTCGTAAGCGCAAGGTCCCAAGTTCGATCCTCGGTACCAGAAAAAAGAAAAAGAAAAAATGGAAACCAGCAAATATTTACAAGGATGTGGGAGAATCCTTGTGGCCTGCTAATGGGAATATAAAATGACTGTGCTGCTGTGGAAAACAGTATGGTAAGTTTTCAAAAAGTTAAACATGCAATTACCATATGATCCAGAAATTCCTTTTTTTGGGAATATATACCCAAAAGAATCAAAAGGGACTTGAACATTTGTAAAATCATGTTCATAACAGCATTACTCACAAGAGAAGGAATACATTATCCCAAAGATGGACACAGCCTATGTATCCATCAACAAATGAATGGATGAATAAAATGTTACACACACACACACACACACACACACAATCACACACACACACACACAGAGGTGGGAATTTACTCAGCCATAAAAAATGAAATTTTGATAATCGCTACAACAGAGATAAATCTTGAAAACATAGTTAGTGAAATAACCTAGTTGCACAAGGACAAATATTGTATGATTCCAATTATAGGAAGTAACTAGAATAGGTAAATTCATAGAAACAGAAAGTGAAATAGAAGTTAGAGTTAAAAAGAGAGAAAATAAGTTATTATTTACGAGGTATCAATTTGAGATGATGAAAAAGTCTGGAAAAATACCAGTAATGATTACAAAACACTGAATATACTTAACACCATGGAACTGTTCACTTAAAAATGGTTCAAATGACGCTGGAGGCTGAGGCAGAAGGATTAGATTACAAGTCAAGCCCAGTCTGCACAAATTAGCCACTTAGTGAGAACCTGTCTCAAAATAAAAAATAAAAAAGGGATGGGGATGTAGCTCAGTGCAAAGGTCCTAGGTTCAACCGCCAGTACTGCAAAAACAAACAAAATAAGGCTGGGTGTGGTGACACATGCCTGTAAACCTAGGGGCAGCTGAGGCCTATAAACCTTTGGGAAGCTGAGGCAGGAGATCCCCAGGAGTTCAAGGCCTGCCTGGAAACAGAGCAAGACCTTGTCTCAAAAGAAAAAAAAAAATAAATAAAAGGTTAAAATAGTAATACAATTCAGTTTTAATATGGTTAATTAACAATTACATAAAATGATGTAAACACTCACAGATTTTTGTCCTGATACTTTTTTTTTTTTTTTTTTGGTATCAGGGATCAAACTCAGGACCTTGTGCTTGTGAGGCAGGCGTGGTGCCACTGAGCTAAATCCCCGGCCCTAGTCCTGATAGACTTTTACAGGAAGATATACGATCCTCAACTGCCTGTGTCACTGAGCACCTCAGGCTATGGTAATCTCTCAGCAGAGATGCTCAATTTATCTTAGCTTAAAGCAATTTAGAATGGTTCCAATGAGTGTCTCTCAACAAATGTCAAAATGTTAGCTTTTTAAAAAAAAATACTAGCTTTTAGTATTACCATGGAAATGGAGGAAGAAAATCTATATGAAGGCTAAGGTGTCTTGACTTGGCCCTCTGTGTGAGTGAAAGTCCTGGAGGCGAGGAGACTCTTAGTGGACAGACAAGTGCAGTATACAGAGTTTCCTGGGCCTGCTAATGAGTCCCCGGGGATGATGACACTGCTTCAGGGGAAGTGGAGATGCTACTAGAAAAGGATAAAAAGTAAAGTCTGGGGGCTGGGTATTTAGCTCAGTGGTGCCGCCACCTGCCTGAAAAGCAAGGTCCTGAGTTCAATCCCTGGTAACAAAAAAAAAAAAAAAAAAAAAGTGAAGGTTGAAATGAGTGATAAATGTATGCCTTGGGGGTGTCTCTTACCAGAAAGTACAATTGATGAAGATGGAATGTGTGAATGCAAATTATCTTCCTACCAGGTACAATGAAAAGATAAATAACCCCAGACAGCAGTAAATCTGCCTTAAATAAGAACGTTAGATGTTGGTGTAGGAGTGTCCGTTCATGCCTTCACTCAGAAGAGCCCAGCAGCCAATGTGGAAGGCCGATGGACAGGAGACTTGTGAAAATGACAGCACCGAGAGCCTCAGCAGTTCCTGAGGAGAACAAGCTAAAGGACAGAACTGCCTTAGGTCTGGGGGCAAAGATGGCAACCTCTGACTGCCGGCCTCCTCTGACTCCACTAGGACTTGGGGAAGCAGGAGGCAGATCTGAAGGAACTGAAGTGGTGGCTAAGGAAGCAGCAGCAGTGTCTAAGCATCAATGGGAAAGGGGCAGAATCTCCACTTGCCAAGTCCAGCAGCTTGGGTCGCTGAGCTGTGCCCTCTGTAACACCCCAGTTAAAAGAGGCTACTGGGGCTGACCTGCATTCTAGGAAAGCAGCTCCAGACCAGTTGGCCAAATGGAAAGCAGTCCTCAGCACAGCACCTCTGTCACAGAGGGGATCACAGGAGCACAGGGACTGAACCAAGATGCCCAGACAACAAAAGCTTCCTTGGTGCCTTAGGGTTCTGCCTCCATGTCTGCTATATCCACTTGGATAAAAATGGAAGGAGCTTGTAGAGTGACCCCAGGAAACCTTTGAGACACTTTTACTACCTGAAAGACAATGAGCAAGAGGAAAAGTGGGGACAATAGTCAGCATCCACCCAACACACAGAGCAGGAAAGGCACTCTAATGACAAAGTTGGGCCAGGGATTTAGCTCAGTGGTTCCGCTGCCTACCTCGCAAGCGCAAGGTCCCGAGTTCAATCCCTAGTCCTCCCCCTCAAAAAAAGTTCACACAAAGTCAATGCTCAGCCAGGCATTGCAGTGCACACCTGTAATCCCAGAATTTGGGAGGCGGAGGCAGGAGAATCACCATGAGTTCAAGGACAGGCTGGACTGCATAACGAGACCCTGTCTCAAAAAACCAAGAATGAAAATGGATCGACTATATGTAGCCTGTTACCAGGGGAATCCACAAGAGAGACTCATTAGATTCATTAGCAAGTAGGCCCTCCATCCGTCTTTTCAATCAGCTGCTGAAGGATGCCAGGTAATTGGTCTGGTTCACATATGACAGCTACAAAATTGAGTTTCTATACAAGCTTTGTATAGAAAGCAGATGTTCAGAGTCCAGCAGAAGGCATGCAACTTAGCAAAGAAATTAAGAAAAAGTTGCTCAGGAAGAGGGGAAAGGGAAGAAAAAACAGTGTGTTATGGGGCTGGGGATTTAGCTCAGTGGTTCTGCCACCTGCCTCACAAGCAGAAGGACCCGAGTTCAATCCCCGATACCAAAAACCAAAAAAACCAAAAAACCCAATGTGTTATGTACATGCATCAACTCCCTGTGATAAATGTAATCATTATGTGTTGCAAACATGTACTAATAAAAATAAAACTAATACTGCCTTGCAAGAGCAGGGTCCCGAGTTCAATCCCTGGTACACAAAAAACAAAACAAAACAAAACAAAAAACCTAATTAAAAAAAGAATGAGTTGGTCAACTGGGTTGAATTACAGGCTGCAGTTGTAGCACGATAAAAGAACTGAACATAAATAAAAGCTCTACTATTTGAGTAAACACTGACTTGGGCTATTGTCAAGTAGACTTGAAATTAGTGTAGCAGGGCCGGGGAATGTAGCTCAGCAGTGCAGTACCTGCCTGGCAAATGCACAGGCCTGAGTTTAAGTCTTGGTACAACACAAAAACAAAAACTGTTGTAAAAAGTGAACCATAGGTCCAGAGATTTAGCTCAGTGGTGCCGCTGCCTGCCTCGAAAGCTCAAGGACCCGAGTTTGATCCCCGGTACCAAAAAAGAAGTGAACCATAATTACCTGACTCCCCCCACTAAAAAGATCATCTATGTGGGGAACTGTTTTGTTTTCTAATTCTTTCTTTCTTTATTTGGTACCAGGGATCGAACTCGGGACCTTGTGCTTACAAGGCAGGTACGGTGCTGCTGAGCTAAATCCCCGGCCCTCTTTATTTATTTTTTTGAGTCAGGCTTTTGCTATATAGTTCAAACTGGCATTGAACTCAGTGATCCTCCTGCCTCAGCCTCCTGAGTGCTAGCATTAGAGCAACTGTTATCTGGAAATCCATATGGCAATTCTGGGGGTAAACTGAAGTAGGACCTGCTGCTGTTCAATGACACCCTAAGTCAGAGACCAAAGGCAAATGGAGTGAACAAGTTGAAGACCTACTTTGATCTCTTGAAATGGCAACCAATGTCTGTAATTTGTATTTCTTTGTTTTTCGAGTGATTTTTGTAATCTAGAAAAAACTTTTTTGATAGGAACGATACCTGCGATGTCAGCTTGCCAGCAATCTGCATTCTCTCGATTTCTGCTGGAGATTTGATCAGCCGCAGGCGCTGGATCAGCTGCTGAAGCCCCCGAACCTCGTTCTTACTCCTGGCCTTAGCCTCAGTCAGGTGATGCATGTAGTCAGAGTGAAGCTGTGCATGTGGAGGCTTCATCCAGTCGTACCACACTGTGCTTGTCTCAGCTTTGAAGGAAAGCCAGAGAATACATTTAAAACTGACAGGATGGGGTATAGCTCAGTGGCAGAGATGTGTTTAGCCTGCATGAGGCCCTGGGTCAATCCTCAGCACCAAACAAAAAATTAAATTAACAGCAACAAGAAGAAATACCAACTGTCATGGTGACCTAAACAAGTCAAAGCTATAAAACCGGCAGTGTTGAAAAAAACTCTCAGGACTAAAGCAATTGATGGGTTCAATCATAAATCACTCAGAAGACCATTCTCTGAAAATGGCAAGATATTCTGGGACTGAATATATAGCTTTTCTGCTCCAAAATATCAGCAGTCTTCAGAAAGATGATGGAACTAAGCTTTACATTTCATAGTACTTGGGATTGAACACAAGGCCTTTGCACTGAGCTACATCCTTAGCCTTTATTTATTGATTTTTATTTTGAGACAAGGTCTCACTAAGTTAAGCAGCTAGGGCTGGGCTTGAATTTTGAACCTACGATCCTCCTGCCTTAGCTGCCCAGAGTACTGGCATTACTAGCGTGTGCCACCATGCCTGGCAAGCTTTAAGTTTTGATTTTATTACATATTAACTATTTACTTTTTTTTTTTTCAGTATCGGGGATTGAACTCAGGACCCTGCGCTTGCCAAGCAAGCATGGTGCCACTGAGCTACGTCCCGGGCCCTATTTATGAAATATTAAAGAACAATCACAATAACTTGTCAGCATCACTACTGATCTACAGAAAAGGAAAACAGAAAAAAGTGCTCAGAACATGACCATACAGGTAAAGTGTCCCCTGACTTTTTCATTTTGGTGTAATTATTCATTGCTACAGAAACATGATAGTTAACATGTGTACATCTCCCTTTGCATCTGCTGTCTATTTTTCTTGTAATTTTTAAGTCCAGAGACCTAAGAAAATGGTCTATATCTGCCAGAGATATATAACATGAAGTCTCATTATGAAAATTATTTGTACTTAACATTCCATACATAATTGATTTTTTTCCCCTAACAGTAACCTAGGAATGATATTCCCAATAATCTAAGTCTGAAGAGTTCTTTGTTTTATTTTATATGAATGAAAAGTAATTTGGGAGGGGCCGGGAATTTAGCTCAGTGTTTTTGCCGCCTGCTGTGCAAGCACAAGGACTCGAGTTCGATCCCCCGTACCAAAAAAAAGAAAAGTAATTTGGGAGCCGCCATGGTGGCACATGTCTGTAATACCAGCACTTGGGAGGCTGGGGCAGTAAGTTCATTATGAGTTCAAGGCCACCCTGGGCTTCATAGTGAGTTTAAGGCTAGCCTGAACTACATAGTGAGACCCTGTCTCAAAAAAAAAAAAAAAAAGTACACTGTATGAGAAATATTTATTCTACTTACAATAGATGGACATTTCTTATAGCATTTTGTTTTTCAGACAGGATCTTGTTAAGTTGCCCAGCTTGGCCTTGAACTTGTCATCCTCCTGCATCAGCCTTTTGAGTGCTGGGATTACAGGAATGTGCCACTATGTCCTAGCTTGTCAAAAATTTTTTCTCTTTTTTCAGGGACTGAGCAATGCATGCCAGGCAAGCACTCTACCACTGACTTAACTCTGCAGCCTATTTATAATTTTTTTTTCTCTTTTTATTTCCTTTTCTTTTTTTGAGATAGACCAGTGGTGGTGAACCTTTTAGAGATGAGTGTGCAAACTGCAACCCAAAATTCACTTACTTATTGCAAAGTACCAACACTGTAATTAAACACGAATACTGAGGTTTTAGTTTGGAAAAAAAAAACAACTCTTACATTAATATCTTTTGTCTTAAAAGAAAAACACAGTAACATGTGTGCCCTAGGTTCACTACTACTGAGGTAGGATCTCACTATGTAGCTCAGGTTGGCCTTCAACTCATTATGTAACCCAAGCTGGCTTGAACTCACAGGATCTTCCTGCCTCAGCCTTCTGAGTGCTGGGATGACAGGTGTGCACCACTTTGCCCAGCTAATATTTTTAGAGGTTAAATAACTTCAGGTCAGGAATGGTGGTGGCCTGTAAGTCAGTAGGCTGAGGCAGAAGCATAGAGGGTTCAAGGCCAGCCTAAGCAACACAGGAAGACTGTCATGAAAAATAAAAGAAACATCACTATTACTTATGTATGAAATCATAGTTCAATTTTTTCTAGTTTTAAAACTTTTAAATACATATTATTGCATTAATCTTTTTCTTTGTCTAATAATTTTATCCAGTAAACAACTAACATTAAAAATGGAGGATGAGGGCCGGAGATTTAGCTCAGTGGTTCTGCCGCCTGCCTTGCAAGCACAGGATCCCGTGTTCGGTACCTAAAAAAAAAAAAAAGATGGAGGATGAGGATTTGGTACCGGGGATCGAACTCAGGACCTTGCGCTTGTGAAGCAGGTGGCAGAACCACTGAGCTAAATCCCAGTCCCCAGGGAGTGTTTTTGAGAAACACATTTAATGTGAGATTTAACTATACAGGCTTCCTGAAATTTAAACTGCTGAAGATGACAGCCAGCAACTAATGCAAGACATCAAAAAGCATCAAAATAATGGTTCTGTTATCCATTTATGTGGATTTTAAAGACCTAAGAAAGTTCAATGAGTTAACGCTGGTAGATACCTCTATAAAGTAGAAACTATTTCTATAAAGTAAAAAACAAATAATTCAATTAAACATCTTAGATCTTATATTCAGATAAGTGTTTTCTTACAAAGACTTTGTAGAAATCAAGTTCAATATAGTCCATTGTTGTCAGAAACATTTCTGGAATTCTCTTTTAGAAACTGACATCAGAAATGATTTATAAATCACATAAGGAAACCAGGTAAAACTTTATAATCATCTATTATTATCATCTAAAAGCACTCTTTCTTCACTTGATGATCTATCTTAGTTTCCAAATTTGGCTCTAAGTGACTTTTGGATACCTCTAAGAATAAAATGCTTCTTTTTTTTTTTTTGATACCGGGGATCAAACTCGGGTCCTTGCGCTTGTGGAGCAGGTGGCGAAACCACTGAGCTAAATCCCTGGCCCTAAAATGCTTCTTTAATGATATACAAGAATCACTAAAGACAGTTTATGTGATATTATAGGCTGTGAAGACAGTTCCAGATGAAAAATCCCAACACATTCTGAGTAATCAAAACTTCAGCAGACTAAAAGTAGAGAGGCAGCAATCTTGAGGGGCATCAATTCAACTGTGTCTATGAAATCATCTGAGAATCTTGTTAATTTTTTTGTTTTTTGAGACAGGGTCTTGCTGTGTAGTTCAGGCTGGCTTTAAACTATGTAGCCCAGGCTGGCCTTGAACTTGTGGCAATCCTCCTGCCACAGCCTCCCACATACTGACTGGGATTACAGGCATGCACACACCACCAAACCCTGCTGAGAATCTTATTAAAACGCACATTCTGATTCTGTATCCATGAGGTGGGGGGCCTAAGATTTTACATTTCCAATATCTATCACACATTTTTAAATTTTCTAACACACATTTTTAATTCTAATACATACCCCCAGGTGATCCTGATATAGGTTGTGCATGGATCATTCTTTGAGAACAGTGCCTCCTTTAAGGAAGCAGTGGTCAAAGCCCCATACTCAGACTTCATTTTAAAAGGAAATTCTTTAAGATTTCAAACTAAGCTGGTTAGCAGTGTCTATTAATGAATTACTAGCAAAGACTTAGCAAATGGACATATAAACTCTTCAAAGCAGCTCAGTCTTCTGGAAAGACTTATGTCTCTTTCATGGTTCTAAGAGAAATGCTTCTACAATAATCTTTTTAGGAAATTAAAAACTACACAGATAAAGAAGGTCTTAACCCCAACCTGGCCTGTGACTTCCCTTCTGTTCCTGTGAGTTACCTTTCATTCTGGGTAGGAGATGCTGGAATTCTTCCAGTGGATAGGCTTCATCTACTCCAGTCAGAGCCATTGCTCCATCTGTGCCCGATCGTGGACCGTCCCAAAGCTCTTGACTGGCATCTCTCTGAGGCACAAAAAGTATGGCCTTGTGTGATGGCATCTGCTTGCCGGGAAGGCTCTGAAGGACCAGAATGCTATCAGGCTCTTGGAATCCACACAGGTACAGGAAATTGTTGTCCTGGTGGAAAGGGTAGGGGATGTCATTGCTCATGTAGTAAATAGGGCTGGAGAGCAAAACCACTGTCTGGTCTGTCCCGCTCTGTCCGTGGACTTCCTTGTGGATCAGAGACATTAGTTTGTGTCTGCGAAGTGCATATTCCACCTGAGATAGTCCTGGTGTCACCTCCCCTAGAAACAAAAAAATCAATGGTTTGCATGACTACAGTGCAGTACTCTAGGTAGCTTAATGTTAGCTACATATATCCAAGTTCACTTCATCAATCTATGCTAAATCTCCTCGCAGCACACAGGAATTAACAAGACAACTCAGGTTTCAAATTTCTTCTTCTTTTTTTTTTTTTTTTGTACCGGGGATTGAACTTGGGACCTTGCGCTTGCGAGGCAGGCGGTGGAACCACTGAGCTAAATCCTTGGCTTCTTTTTTTTTTTCTTCAAATTTCTATTACTGCAAAAATTTCGAAGAAATTAAAGTTAGGGCCGGGGATTTAGATCAGTGGTTCCACTGCCTGCCTTGCAAGCTAAAGACCCAAGTTTGATCCCCGGTACAAAAAAAAAAAAAAAAAAAAAAAAAGAAATTAATGTTAAACATGGTCATGGCTGAAAACTGGAATCGTGGCTGCTTAAGAATCCTTCCAGATGTCTAGTTCTTCCTTTTACTCATCCAGTCCAATATTCATTGAACATTACAGTGTGCAAGGCATTTGTTAGGCTACACAGTCGCAGTTGTCCTGAGGCTTCGATCTCTATGTTGGGTAGGAAGATCACCTATCTGTGCAGGATTTTCTTGAAAGAATCCAAGTTTCAGAAAGACATAGATTTTGTCTGTTCAGGGCCTTGAGAAATTACTGAAATATGGTGGGCACTTCATAAGTACTTGTTACATGACTTACAGCTTTGAACATAACAAATTAATGACAAAAATCTTTCTCTCAATTTTAAGACCCAGAATAAATTCCCCTTCTGAATTCCCAAGACATAATATCATCTCTTGAATAAGACTTTTCACTCTTTATCTACGATTTACAGTGAGCTGGGCATACACATGAGCTCCCTGAAGGCCAGCTTGGTATCGGCCCAAAACCCTGATAATATTATTCATTTCTTTTTTTCTTTTTTCTTTTGGAACCAGGGATTGAACTCAGGACCTTGCGCTTGCGAGGCAGGTGCCGGAACCACTGAGCTAAATCCCGGCCCTATTAAGCCCTATTATTCACTTCTTGGGGCTGTCTGGAGAATCAAATCTGATAAAGCATAGAACTGAACACCTCCTGTGAGTCAAACTAAACCTCTCCTCCTTAGAACAAAACAAAACCCTGAACATTCCCTAGGGATCTTACGCAAGCTATGGAATCATTCTGTTTACTAAACTGCATGTAGGCACTTATAAACTTTTGATATGAAACTTCAAAAGTCTCAGATACCCTTAAGCACTCCCAGCAAGTGCAGATCCTTATTAAGAACCAATGTTATAACTGGGCATGGTGGCACACACTTGTAATCCCAGCACTTGGGAAACTAAGGCAGGAGGAATGCTGTAAAAGTTCCAGGCCAGCCTGGGCTATATAGTGAGTGCAAGGCAAGCCTGAACTAGATAGTGAAACCCTGTCTCAAAAAAATAAACACAAGGGCTGGGGATTTAGCTCAGTGGTTTCGCCACCTGCTGCGCAAGCGCAAGGACATGAGTTCTATCCCTGGTACAAAAAAACCCCCCAAAACCAAAAGACCCCCCCCCGCAAAACCAAAAACCAAAATGAACCTATGTTATAAAGGGCTGTTTGTTCCCTTTTTCTTTTTAAGGCGGTAAAGGGATCAAATACAGGTTCTTCCACATGCTAGGCAAGTAGTCTATCACAGAGCTGTATTTCCAGCCCTCGCCAGCCTCCCTGTTTAAAATTTTGAGAGATAGGGTATCTTGTTAAATTGTTGAGGCTGGTCTGGATCTTGAGATCCTCCTGCCTCAGCTTCCTGGGTAGCTGGAATTATAAGTGTGTGTGATCTCTCTTTCTCTCCGTCTCTCTGGTATTGAGATTAAACCTAGGGCCTTTGCACTCAGCTACATCTCCAGCCATTTAAAAAATTTTAAACTTTCATTTATTTCTGAGACAGGGTCTCACTATTTAGTTCAGGATGGTCTTGAACTCAGTATGTAATCCAGGTTAGCCTTGAACTTGTGGCATTCCTCCTGAGTGCTGGGATCACCAGCGTGTGTCAGCACGCCTAGCTATCTTTTAAATTTTGAGATTAGGGTCTTGCTAAGTCACCAAGTTGCCCAGGATGGGCTTGAACTTGTGATTCTCCTGTCTCCCTGGCTGCCATTTGTTGTTACTATTAGTACCTGGCTATTGGCACAGTGATGGTTGGGTGAATGCTTTCCTTATGAAATGGAAAATTTGCCTGCTTTTACATTAGGTTCCAGTGCAAAAGAACCATGAATACAATCACTTACCAAAGCTGTAATCCCTCAGCCTTTACTTGGCAGTAGGATTAGTGAAATAGCATCTAATGCTTGCTTATTGAATGCTTATTATGTGTAAAGTACTAACCTTTCTAATTACTTACATATTTAAACTTACTCATTTAAACTTTGTGATAGATTCTATCATGCTACTATATTTCTCCCTGTGGTAGCCAGTTTCCACATACAAATATGTCAAGATAACTGTGAAACTGGGCTGAATGAAAACATTACAGATCACAAAAAAGATACAGAAAAGCGGAAGGACCAGAGTTCAAGCCCCAGTACCAAAAAAAAAAAAAAAAAAAAAAAAAAAAAAAAAATTTTTTTAAAAAGAATCACTTTTTATAGGGTGATCTACTGGGAGTGAGATTAGAGAAGACTGAAATTTCCTACTTAATATTTTTATAACACTGGAATTTTGCTTCAATAAACATATACTTTTATAATTAAAATACTAAAGAGAAAACAAAGAGGTTAAAAAAGTGAATCCACAAAAAGTCCATTCTATATTCATAACCAGAAATAGTTTCTTGTTGTCCATTAGATCAAATTCACTCTTAGGCTTCATGTACAATGTTCTCTACCACATAACTCCAATCCATCTGGGTGACTTTTTTCTCTTTTAATAGCTTTACTGAAATACTTCATGTTTCTTACAATTTCCCCATTTGAAGTATAGAAATCAACCTCAGTAACCACATTGCCAATTTTAGAACATTTCCTCAACCCATAAGCCACTTCCCATTTTCTCCCAATCCCTTTTGTCCCGGCAACCATGGATCAATTTTTTTCTTTATAAATTTATATCTTATAGAGATTTCATATAAAGAAATTACACAATATATGGTCTTCAGTGACTTGGACAACTATTTTTCTTACTATCCCCCCAATTATTCTGCAATTAAGTCCTTATCTCATAGACAAGTCCAATCCCATTCTTTCCTTCTCTGGTTATCTTCCTTAAAATGTGTTCCCTTTCCAAAATTTCTTCTCCCTCCTACTAATCCCACTCCAAGATCTTGGGTTAATACATGTTTATTTTTAGTCCCTTCTCATTCAAAAGCCTCCCTTGCTTAGCCCTGATCATATCTGTTTGAATTAGTTTTTAAAAAGTAACTATGTACACACACACACACACACACACTAGTTGTATATAATCATATACTGAATTCCTTCACTAAATATTTCCCCCTTACCTTCACTGTTTGGCTCCTCACTCTCCTTCCCTCCACTATATACATCAGAATCTGTCCATATTTGTAATCTAGTATGTATCCTTCCCGATTTTTCTCAACACTCATATAATCATACATACATACGCATGTGGGTTTTTCTTGATTGTTACTGTTTTAAAAAATGAGATACCATACACTGTATTCTGTATCTTGGTTTTCTCACATAACAATACCAAAGGAAATCCCTGAGTTATCTGGTATAGCTTCAATTCATTCTGTGCGATGTCTTCACAACATTTATTGGGTTGGATATACAACTTATTGAGCAATTTCCATTGTGATGGGCATTTATATTGCCTTTTGCCTTTTGCTGCCACAATAAATATCTTTGTGCTGGTACCTTTGTAATTTTATGCTGGATGTATTAGTACTTTTTTCTGCAGAATAGTGCCAGAAAAGAAACTGCTAGAAGAAAGACTTTTGTTTTTTTTCCTGTACCAGGGATTGAACTCAGGACCTTGCATTTGCCAGGCAGGCGTGGCACCACTGAGTTACACAGGAGAAAGAGTTTTGAATTTTCTTAGTAAACATGCTTAGCACATGTAAATCAGTTGTTTATGATTACCTTGGAACTGTCTCGTTATTTCACCCATATAAAGCAGCAACTTCTGTAGTTTGATTTCCATTAATAAAACATTAATTTTTACTGAACTTTTAGACATGTAAAATAGATTTTTTTTTTACACTTTTATTGGTGAAGTTGGAAAGAAATAAGAGATGGACAACTGAGGGCCTTATAGGCCAGTCTGAATCAGGCAAGGCAACAAAGTGAGCTGGAAAAGAGCTTACATCACATTCTTTTTTCCTTCTGAGAGAGTGGGCTCAGAGTTCCCTAGGACTCTTGGGCAGAAAGAACACTGCACTTTGTACCAGAGCTGAAGAACGGCTTTAACTCTCTCTGGTAACTATTCCTGTTAAGTCATCCACTGTTACCCAACACTGGAAATTTCCTAATGTATCCAAGCAATAAAAACTCTGTTGTTGTTGTTCCCACTGAACTCCATCCCCAGCCCAGATAAGTTTTTTTAAATCAAAGCAGAGGCCAATTGTAATTGGTGAGATATCTGACATTTCCTATTTTGTCTTTTCACTTTCTCCCTTTCCTAAAATTTGCTTTCTGTCATTTCAGAATTATAGATTATGAAATAAAAAAATCAATTCATTTTGTGATTCTTTTAAAAAGAAGTTTCAGGGCCAGGGGTATATAGTTCAGTGGTAGACCACAGGGTTATTTACCATGTGTGAGGCTCTGGGTTCAACACTCAGCACTAAAAAGAAAAAAAAATTCAGATGAGAAGAAAATTCACAATTATAATAACTTCGAAATATCTCTCACTTTCATTAATAACACAGTATAGGGCCAGGGATTTAGCTCAGTGGCACCACACCTGCCTCACAAGCACAAGGTCCTGAGTTCGATCCCTGGTACCAAAGAAAAAAACAAACAAAAAACACAGTATAAATTAGAATATGCC